ATTTTGACGTTTTACTGCAGTTTTCCCCACTCTTTAAAGGTTGCCTTGGGAAAGAGTGATTTCCACTTAGCAGAGGCTTGGATATTTGATTAGATGAGGTTGCCCACAACCGCTGAATATCCTAAATACATGCTGCTCAAAATAACCCAGACGAATCAGGTCCTCCTAAGCATTTGTATGTATTTGTAGGGATTTAATATTGCAATTAAAATAAATAAAAATCAACATTAAATCATTCATATAGATCGACACACTGCTGCAATGTTCACTAAACCAACAATGTACATTAAGATTTGTTAAAACAAACAAATCCCTTCCCTAATTTAAACAAACAAATTAGATAAAAGTGAATTAATTGTACTTATAATCCATACATGAATTGCCAAATTAAAAGTATAATATCCCATATTTAAATAATTATGCAAAGCTGATTTGCTCAAAGTAAAAACCAACCCTTAAATGGAATATGCACATGCTGTTCCTTCACCTCAGTGTCCTTTACACTTCAACAAAGGGAGAAGACCAGTAACGATGTCATCCAGATGTCACACCTGTATGTCAAGTTGCGTTTTTGTCCTGTCTCCAGTTGTTTTTTGACTTCCTGTTTTATTTTGGAAACTAACTCCCTCTCGTTTCAGGTCCCTTTCCCTTCCTCATGTGTCACCAGTCTGATTGTCTTCCCTGATTCCTGATTGTGTCCACCTGTTCCCACAACTCCCTCATGGGTACTTATAGTCTGCGTCGCCCCTTGTCCTGTGCCAGTGTGTCTTGTTGTTTTGCCCTGCACACCAGCCCTCACGTCACGAGTCTAGTCAAGTCCGATAACGTTTGTCACGTCCTTTTGATCCCTGTTACGTTTCCTCGTTTAAGAGAGATTTTGAGTTTTTGCCTTTTGAATTTTGATCTCAACCTTTTTCCTCATTAAGAGAGATTTTGAGTTTTTTCCTTTTGAACTTTGATCGCAACCTTTTTTCCTCATTAAGAGAGATTTTGAGTTTTTTCCTTGTTATTAATAAAAGCAATATCAGCTGAACCCTCTGCGTCCGAGTCCTCCTCCTCCCTGCCTGACACAGACAAATCTGTGTATCATTCATTCATTCTTTTTTCAATTGATAAACCGAAACCGTAAAATAAAAAACGATTTGTTTTTCCCGTTATTCAATTGAGAAACCAAGAACGAAAAACTACACCGAAAAAACGGGCCACTGGCCGACATTTATTAAGAAAGTTTGTAACTCTGACGTTTTGTGACCCAAATGACTTCTTTGTGTATTACACTATTCTCTTAATCTTATGGAAGCCCATTTCCGCCACAAAAAAGAAGGGTTAGAAAATCGAAATTATGACGCGCATGCACGGGCTCCTTGCCGCTGGTTGTCAACGTCACTACGGTCACACTTTTTTTAAGGTCCTATAGAGGTCCTTTCTTTTGTCTCCACCCCCTTTATTTTTTTTAGGCCTACACATACTTTTCTTCACTGTTTTCTTGAAATTGAATAAACTACAAGTACACATATTCAGTGTCATTGAATGTATGTGACTTTAACTGATAACGTAATGCAATATAGCCAGGACGGCCTTACAGAGTTGCGACCCTCTAATTTTACCACCACAGCACTGGTTATAGGCAATGCCAAACGCATGCAGTGATGACTGGGAGGTTTTTCCGCTCACTGGCAGGTTCTCTCCTCCAAAACAAATAGGACAAGTATTACCTGGGCGGCTTCGCATTCGTATAAATAGACGTATTACTCAAATGTGTTGAGTTAAACTTTGAATGTAAATTAGAAAGGTGTTATATATATATATAAAGGTGTTGTTGTTTGTTTCATGATAACATTTTTCCCCCTCACTTAATCGAGTCAATGATAGAATTTTATATTTCTGCTTATATTTTTTGGAAGTGAAACCTTGATGAACCATGAATTGGTTTCCTCGAAATGGTGACAGCTGAGCGTCAGCTAGCAGCTAACTGTGCTAACCGCGCTAACAGTGTTCCCATGAGGGGAACACTAAGCTGTCGAGGCGCTTGCACAACTGGACTGTTTGTCATCTGGATTCAGGCATGAACCAGCCAGTGGGGACACGCTGACATGCACTAAAAACTGCTTCTTAAACAAATAACTGAGATTACAACACAGACACACAAAGAGGAACGACTTTGACCTTTGACCGTGTAGACGATACCCAACTCGATCTTTAGCTGTAAGGTTTTTGCTGCTTTATTAATATTGTGAATATCACTTCAGCACCTTCAAGTCTCTGGGTTGTTTTTCCCGTTACATTTGAGAGCCGGCTTTAGTAACAATGCATACTAATAAAATGATCCTAGTCGTAGGATATATATTGTCTCACACTGGGTTTGCAGCACCGACATGAACCTTCGCCCCGTTGAGCCTCTCCTTGCAGGAGTCAGCTCTGTTTGAGATGATGGAGGTGACGGTCTAGGGAAGGTTATGGATTGAAAATGCTGGGATGGTGTGGCCATGTAAAACAATTGAACTGGACACTGACAGTCTCCTGGCTGTCAACAAGTTGGTTTGTTGTGTTGTTGCCTGGCCCTGGTGTGAGGGGAGAAAGGTTCTTGGCAGTCTGTTGAGCACGTAGGAAGGAAGGAAATAAACGGAGAAAGACATATTTGACTCAGAGCCTTTATTCTTATTTACGAATTGTCTTCCACAATAATAATCAAGAGTTCAGGGTGTACAAAAGAGCAACTTTATATGATTTTTCCCATTTCATACCACTGCATACCACTATACTTAATTACTTCTTAGAAAGAAATATGGCACTTGTCACTCCGCTACATTTGTGTGAAAGGCAAAGTTAATACATACTATGATTTCACAATCAAAACGTTATCAAAAGAGGAAGTGTGACCACCCGTCACCTCAACCAGCTATGATGTTAAAATACTGAAATATCCATTTGCTTTTATACATTCACAATAATTTAAAGCTCAAGCGGGGCAACTCTTTCCAGCATGTATTTTTGATATATTTATTAAATCTGCTTTTAGTAGATCAATTCTTATATAAGACCAACAACTGGAGGAACGCAGTGAGTCAGTTTTTCTTTGGAAACAGCCTGATTGTCGTTACTCATGGCTCGACTGAATGATACATGAAGGTGAAAGTGTTGCATATTTTGACAGATTTCTGCAAAAAGTGCACATTGTTTTCACTCAGTGCCGGTTGTGCCGGGTCATGGTGTCGTTGAATTCACTTCCTGTTTTATTTTAGACCGCATCATTGATAAACATGAATAGGACTCTAACCAGCTTAGTGCGTTTCCCATAATGCCAATCAAATCTTCGACTCTCCAACAGGATGTTATGATCAATGGTGTCAAACGCAGCACTGTGGGGTGGATGAACATTTTAATGTGAGAAAAACTATAAACATCAGGCCCATAATGATAACATTTAAAAAAAATCAATGTAAATGGTTTAATTGTTTTTAATAGTGATGATTTCAATACAAAAATACTCAACAGCCTTACAAATAAAACCAATTTCACAATAGGATGACTGTTACAATTTAGAATAGAAAAGATGTTTGATTATTGGTTTGTATTGTTAACGCCTTTGTCACTAATCCAGAGGAGAGCCGTACACCTCCACCTCACACAGGCTCAGAAACTCCTCCCTGGGGACGACCACGTTGACGTAGCGACCGTCCATCCCGTTACACTGGAACTCACCGACACCACCCGCTGGGATGCTGGTGATCACAGCGCACCTGGTAGAAGAAACAGGAATGACTTTAGGTCCAAAAACGTTTGGTCTCTGTTGCTCTGACGAGGGAGACAAACACGCTTTACAGCCTCATTGATGTGTGCTGTCACCATAACAACTCACACCAATGACCATTTTCTTTTGTGAGGGGACAAATCAACATAAAAACTCTGTTGTGTCTGCTGAATTCTTATTAATCCTTATTAAGTTCTGTAAAGCAGAGGGGAACTGCAGAAAGTTATTACTAGATTTATTATCTTTACTATATTTAATTATTTAATCTATTGTAAATAATGGATGTTCTACTTGTGTGATTGAACTATATAGTCAGACTTATTTTGCAGACAGACTCTGTTCCGCGTGGGGCCAACACCCATCCCTGACTGTACAAGAAGTCGACCAAAGCCGAGCTGGCAAAGTGTGGCGGCCCTGTGAGGTTACACGGCTAAATGCTGTTTAAAAGGTTATATTTATGTTAACCATCGTAGCTTCGAGTTTTAACCCATAAACGTGCTAGTAAGAACTAAACTGCATGATGGTAATCACTCTATTGCAGGGGTGTCAAACTCAATTGCACAGGGGGACCATAAAAATATATCCAGTCAAAATTATACAAGTTAGAAATATGAACATGCTGCAAAAAAAACACCTGAAAAAATAAATAAAAATTGTGACAGCTTGTGCTTTAAGTAAACATTAAAATAACAAATCAAAACATTTGACTTTCTTTGCTTTTGTCATTTTATATAAAAAAAACTTGGATTTTAAATATCCCAAATGATTTTACTCTCCATAAAAATATCTCCTGTCAAAGTTATACAAGTTTGAAATATGAACATGCTGCAAAACAAAACAAAACCTGGAAATATAAATAAAATTCATGCTTTTCAGAAATAACAAATAACGATGCAAAACATTCAGTTTTCTTTGCTCTTATGCCATTTTATCAGAGCTGGATGCTTGGCATCTTTTTTTGGCAACAAGTTGGTTAATGTTTGGCGTGAGGTCCCGTGTTGTGGACACTCTCAGGATGGACTGAAGGTGCTCATCAGTGAGACGACTCCTGTGTGCTGTTTTGTTTGTCTTCTCACGCAGATATGTGCTACCAAACACGCACACGGTTCGAGCCGCATGTAGACGGAGCTGGGACATTGCTGCGGGACTGGAGTGAATAAACAGTGTCGTACTTTGTCTTTAGTGTCCCATTACACTGCAGCTCAATCAGCTCCATCTGAAGCTGCACAGGTGCAGTTTCCACGTCGACGGCAAATGGGTTGCGAAACAACTCAAAATTATTTTTTTGCTCCTCAAAATCACCAAAGCGCCGTGCGAACTCTGTGCGCAGTGCGCTCAGTTTATCATCAAGTGCGTATTTGGGAACACCGCTGTGCCGCATTACTTGGCAACAGGGAAAGTGGGGCAAGTTGCACTGGTTCATTTGTGTCTTCCATAAAATCAGCTTCACTTGAAATGCCTTCACTGCGTCATACGTGTCAGTGATCATGCGGTCACGTCCCTGGAGCTCGAGGTTTAAGGCATTGAGACGTGCGGTTATGTCAGCCAGAAACGCCATGGAAAGCGCTCGGCAAGGCCGCTGAAGCGCTGCATTATGGGATCTGTAGTTTATTTTGTTATCAGCGCTTCATATCGTCGGGCCATTAGTAACAATAATATAAAATGATCTCGCGGGCCAGATATAATTGCATGGGCATGGGCCTTGAGTTTGACATATGCTATATTGTATGCAGGTGTTTTAAGTTTTCAATTTATACCATTTTTGACCCGATGATGGGATTAGATGAAGTGTTAAAATGAATGTACTAAAGGTGTAAAAGAAGAAAGCTTGGCTGGTAAGTGGACACGTGCTAAACTACCTGGCGTTGTCGTTGCCGAAGTTGGCGAGGGAATCTCCGATGCGGATCTCGGCTCCATCGAGTCGTTCGGCGTCCTCCTCTCGGTTGGTTATCTTAACGGAGAACACTTTGTGGGTTTGACGCAGATCCAGTCGCCACCAGGGGTTGACGTTGTTTTGCGTGTGAGTGCAGGAGCCGTCCTCCCACTTGCTGCCAGGATTCCCGTCGATGGCGTTATAGGCGGCGCCGAACATGTACAGTGACGACTGAGAGGCTTTTCCTCCCAGTGCCAGGTTCTCTCCTGCAAAACAAATATGAATATTTTAGTGTCATGGAAGAAAGAATTCTAAAAATAGAAGGTCAGAAAAGGTTTTTAAAATAAATCTAAATATTAATAATATTAATATGGCTCATAATTAAAATGTAGAAAAAGTTTTAAAATATTGGATCAAAAAAAGTAGGAGGTATCACAAAGACTATTAAACACAATTAACAATATGAGTATTTTTGATGAAATGTAGTTTAAGAATTGAAAATAAACAAAATGAATAACATAAAAACTGGTTTCATATTATTTATTTCAGTAACAGCTTAAAGGCTCACCAGTCGGGGCGCGGTACCCGTAGACTTCCACTTCACAGAGTGTGAGCATTTTCCCTGATCCTGGTACAACCACAGTGACGTATCGTCCCTCCACATGTTCAGTGAAAGTCAGAGTGATCGTTGCTCCATGATCAGTATTTTCAATTGTACCAACACTAACAGAGAGAGAGATGAATGAGAAATAAAACATCACATGGATCTCATTCATACTTATAGTCCTTCAAAATGAAGATGGAAGAGACAAGCTTGTTTCCTTGAAATTGGAATTCTCCATTCTTCGATTAAAAAATAAAAAAGGAAATATCAAAATATATTATATTGTATTATATTATATATATTGTCTCACACTGGGTTTGCAGCACCGTTGTCATCTAACGAGTTGCCGACGTGAACCTTCGCCCTGTTGAGCCTCTTCTTGCAGCAGTCTGCTCTGTTTGTGATGACGATGGAGGTGACGGTGTAGGGATGCAGCAGGTCCACTCTCCACCAGGGGTTGGTCTCTTCGTCAGTGTGGGTACAGGAGCCAGCATGGAAATTAGAATCAGGGTTTCCATCAATTGCATTGTAGGCGGCTGAAAAGTCATGTCCGTAGCGGTCCGACTGAGTGGCTTTTCCACGTAAGGCCACGTTCTCTGTGAGACGGGTGAAAAACACAAAAGAGATTTAAAGCAGTGTTCCTCAGACTGTGGGGCGCGACACTTTAGTGGGTCGGCGTGCTATTACAGGTGGGGAAGTTCAGAACCAATTCACTTCAAGAACTTTATTGAGAACTTCTCATCTTAAATAAAGTAGGACATAAGCAGGCTCTCTCAAAACGAAACACAGATCCAAGCTTAGCATTGAACATGAATTAGGAGGCCGTATCAAGTCAGCAACACTGTTTCAACAAGATTTCTTGTGGAAAGCAGGCTTTTTGCAGCCACTAATACTGATAAGAAAAGTTTAATTAAAGAATATCGATGAGAAGGATGGTACCTATCTGCAAAAATGATGTTTTTATTTGCACAGGTTACACATTCAAAAAACTGGTTTAATTACAGCCACAAATCTATTTGCTGCCAAGTATTTGTTCTTTTTTGCACACGTAGGGCTTTATTTGCATTGCTCTGACAACATTTTTTGTCTCATAAAGCAATCTGGTTTACTTGAAAGTGATTGAAATGTTTTTATTCTATTATTTGAAAAAGCAGATGGAGCAGACACAACATTTTATTTCAATTAGAAATTCAACTGTATTCATTTTTAATGTTGGGTCTTTGGGGCATGAACGTCTTTTTTTCTCCAAAGTGGGACGTCAGACAAAAGGTTTGGTAACCACAGCTACTAAAGAAAAAACATGCAAATAGACAAAACACAAAGTACAGACAACCTCTGCAACAGAAACACGTTGCACTTTGTATTTGTTCCCTTAACTTCAAATCTAATAAGCCACATGGAAGAGAGGATGTTGGTCTGCCAATGCAGTCCAACTACTGCAACATTACTACAACATTTAGAGAGTTCTGGATAAAGAGGATACAATTCTAGTAGCTAAAATGTTAATTTACATACATATTCATGTTACTTTTCTTGCTTATTGAACAGACCTACGTGCACCTGTTGACCATCAAACTCACCGTAAGTGTAAGCCGAGCGCGTCTCCAGGAGGAGCAGGAGAAGGAAAGTGACGGGTTTCATTATTCTGGTGGTTTTAAATAACACAGCTTTTAATTCATTATTACTTGTGTAATATGTGTGCTATTGGAATTCTAACTGTATCATAACTATAATGTTGAATGGATATGAGATATGATTCATCCACAGGGTAACTACTGTTTAGCAGAAGAAAAGAGTAGATTTACATGGTTTTACTATTCAGGATATTACACAGTTATCTTTACAACTATTATTTCTCTCCATATTCTGCAGAGGTACATATCTATACAAATAAATAAAAAGCATTACCTGGAGGCCCAACACCGCGAGGATTCAATGAAAATAAAAAGCTTCCAAACAACGGAGACATAAAACAAGTCCTGTGTTCTTTATATGTGTCGCCCTGAATGTAACCAGCCAATCATAAAATATTAGATCATATTCATCTTCAAAACAATCACATCTCATTGGTTTACTCCCGTGCACATGTAGTTCCCTTCCCCGAACTCGTGATTCAATTTCAGAAGAATAAGAAGTGTGTCAAAGATCACACACAACAATTCAATATGTTTAATACCCATCAAGAGTTCAGGGTGTACTATTCAGAGGTACTTTATATGATTTTTCCCATTTCATACCACTGTATACTTCTACTTAATTACACCGTAGAAAGAAATATCGCACTTTTGACTCCGCTACATTTGCATGAAAACTAAAGTTAGCTTACAGATTGTGATTTCACAGTCAAAACATTATCAAAGGAGGAAGTATGATGCCCTAATGGACCACCAAGCACCTCAACCAGCTGAGATGTTAAAATACTCAAATATCTATAAGATTGTATAGAATCACAATATAAAACTCAATCGAGGCTACTCTGTCCAGCATGTATTTTTGATACTTTTATTGTGCTTTTAGTACATCAGTTCTTCTTCTTCTTTTCCAGAGTATCACAGAGCATTTTTCACCTTCACAAAAGTAATTTGAATGAGTACTCCTTTGGTCTTTGCTTACTGGACATCCTTCACGGCCTCTGCAGGCTGGCTGGATTCAAATGGCCCATTGCAGCAGGAGGATTGGTAGAACAGGGTTCAAATTAACTGCTAAAGTGTAAAACAGAGATATAACCAACAACTCGAGGAGTGCTGTCAGTCGCGTTGTTTTGCAACTGCCTGATTCTTGTTACTCAAGAGTTTTCAACGGTGAAAATGTTTAGTTGCAGATTGATAGATTTCTCCACAATGTGCACATTTTTTTCACGTCTCTCTGTTTCAACATCTCAAAAGTGCTACTTCTCTGTTTCTCCCTCTGAAAAGTAAACCTGACACACATACACGCACACACTCACACAACGGAGCGTAACCCTCAGCAGAGAGAATAAAAAGAGAGCACTTGAGACGCTCGGAGTCTTGAAGGGTCCCAAACCCGTCAAGGCGCTCGGCCCCTTTGGTTTTGGACTGTAGACACTATAACTCACAAGAGTTGGATAAAAATATTACGGGAAAAACAAGAAAAGCTCATCTCTAGGTTAAAAAGTGAACATCTCAGCTGAGGATCCGCCGGTTTGTGCAATTAATGACTACCACATGGTGACTGGCTGCTGGTGCATTCAAGTTGACTAGTTATTTAGAGTTTTTCACAGAATATGGTGGTGCAATGAGGTACTCCACTGAATGGTTCGTTCATTGTAATTCGTATTTTGAATGTGTCTTGGTCAATGTGGTGGTGTCAAGTCATACATGCATGCATTTTGGTTGATTGCATTACATTGAACACAATCATAGCTGTGCATTGGTATTACTTTATTACTCCATTTCTTTATTGATCATAGTTTCAGACTCATAGCTGTAAACTAACTGTTTACAATTTTATTAATTGGTATAATGCATGAACCAGGTTGTCCATTTGTTTATAATATTCTACAGTTATCGTCGGTCTGCTCATTTTCTAATGTCTTTGCATAAAATATTTAAATTTGTTTGTCAAACCTCATACACATAAAAAAGTGGCCTTGTATAGAAAACGCATGCACATTTGCAGGATTTTTAATTAAATCCTTTTGGGACTTTTAAGACACGCTTGACGTTTCTAGAAATGGTTGATTTTGTATGTCTAAATCAATAAATAGAATTGAGTCAGACGGACTGTCTGTCTTTTAACAGGAAATTATACAGGGCTGTCAAGTGTCACGCATTGAGCGAGACAGTCACGGACTCCCGCCACACATCCATTTCCTCACGCCAAGGAATGTGATTCCGGTCCCCGAGCCGTGTCGGCTATAGCGTCCACCATCCATAGCGTCCGCGGTACCCCCCCCTCTTTTATTTACTTCTATTTACAACACCTAAATATAATTGAACAACAAAACGCCGGTAGTACAATGGTGAAACACTAGTAGGACACTTTTAAGACACTCGTAAAACATTGCCATCTCCTGCTGCGCTCACTTCCACCCCTCATCACAGGCTCTCCCGCCACTGATTTATTGATTGCCATAATACCTAGAAAGCAGTATTTCTCAGCTTTTAGAATCCTATTGTGCAAATAGTTAAGGAGTGTGTGACGTGACGTATTTTTTGTTACAATGGAAGGCGATCTACCGGGACTACCTTGGCGATCAACCGGTCAATCGCAATTTACCTATTGGGATCTGATCTAGACTTTTAAGTGCAGATGTCTTTTATCAGCTAAGAGTACATGTACAGTCATTATTGTTAGAGGGTACAGATGCCCTGCCGTCTTAATTTAAGGCCCTGCTGACTATGTCATGACATTATTGCAGTTTTTCCAACAGGATAAAAAGGTTATTTTGTTCATGGTTCAATTAAATGAATATTTTAGAAGTGACATCTTGCTGCAGATTGAAGTGTAAAGCCCAAAGTTCCTAAAAAGATGTTGTTAATTCTAAGCCAAATGTGGATCACTCTGATGGATGAAACTTTAAATGCAAGAAAAACGATTGACATCAGACCAACATATGAGAAAGAAAATGCATAAATGATTGAATTTTATTACAATGTTGATCATTCCAAAGAAAAGACAACGGCGTTACAAATCAAGCATACGCATCAGTAGTGCCATAAAAATAATTTCAAAAGGTAATCACTGTCAGGCAAAAAAATTACTTTGGATTATTGGTTTGTACTTGTAACGTCTTCGTCCCTAATCCAGAGGAGAGCCGTACACTTCCACCTCACACAGGGTCAGATACTCTTTTCGGGGGATCACCACGTTGACGTAGCGACCGTCCATCCCATTACACTGGAACTCACCGACACCACCCGCTGCGATACTGGTGATCACAGCGCACCTGGCAGAAGAAACAGAAATGACTTTAGGTCCAAAAACAAAGCAGCACAAAGCATTTAAAAGAAACCGTAAACAGCATTTAGCATTCCTGTGAACGCGCGGCTGTGATGTACTACGTCCAAGGTGTGGCTTTGAGTGAAGCCACTTATTGTTTTGTGAAGCTAATTCTGCCTAGCATGCAGAACATGAGTTGGGCGGCGGCCCGGTAGCCGGAGGTAGCGCTGGGTCCCATTGTCCCGGAAGAAGGACAAGCTACCTCGCTAACTAGCCAGTGATTTGTTTCTTGAATGGTTTCCCGCTCTTTTCTCTGCAACCGCACTTTTCAACCCCGTTGATGTTTGCTGTCACCACAAAAACTAAACTAATTGCCATTTTATTTTTTTCAAGGTCTCAAATCAACAAATGAATTGATAACATTATAAAGTATTAAAACACAGATTTTAAATGAACAAGGCGTAAACTACCTGGCGTTGTCGTTGCCAAAATTTGCGAGGGAATTTCCGATGCGGATCTCAGCTCCGTTGAGTCGTTCACTGTCCAGCTGTTGGTTGGTTATCTTAATAGAGAACACTTTGTGGGGTTTTCCCAGATCCAGTCGCCACCAGGGGTGGACGTCGTCTTTTGTGTGGGTGCAGGATCCGACTTCCCAGTTGCTGTTAGGATTTCCATCAATGGCGTTATAGGCAAGGCCAGACGAATACAGTGACGACTGGGAGGCTTTTCCTCTGACTGCCAGGTTCTCTCCTGCAAAACAAATGTGACCCGTGTTACCTTTCTTTCGTTGCATTTCCATGAATAAAACAAATGACTCATTTTGTGTTGAGTTAAACTTCGAATGTAAACTTAAAACGTTTAAAATGTAGGAAGAAGAATAATACAAATGTAGACATTTAGCATCTAACTGCACACTGATTTATGTAGTAGCTGACATGCTCACCAGTTGGGGCGCGGTACCCGTAGACTTCCACTTCACAGAGTGTGAGGGTTTTCCCTGATCCTGGTAGAACCACCGTGACGTAACGTCCCTCCGCGTGTTCGGTCAAAGTCAGAGTGATCAATGCTCCTTGATCAGTTCTATCAATTGTACCAACACTAACAGAGAGGAGAGAGAGCAAGGAAAAATAAAACATGACATAAATTATAATATAACATCCATTAACATGAAGATAAAAGAAGCAAGCATGTCGTTGGTTTCATGACAATTTTTTTGCAATCATGTATTAGTCAATGATAGTGTTTTTCAAAATGGGCTAAAAAAAATAAAACTTCTATTTCTACTTGTACTTTTCGGAAGTAAAATCTGGATGAATCATTAATTGGTCTCCTCCAATCAGTGACAGCTGAGCGTGCAGCTAACTGTGCTAACAGCGCACACAGTGTTTACATGAGGGGAACCACTAAGAGGGCGAGGCGCCTGCCTAAAGTTATTCTTGTCATATGATATGTATATATATATATATATATATATATATATATATATATATATATTGTCTTACACTTTGTTTGCAGCACCGTTGTCATACAAAGAGTTGCCGACGTGAACTTTTGCCCCGTTGAGCCTCAAGGAAGCGGCGTCTGCTCTGTTTGAGATGACGATGGAGGTGACGGTGTAGGAATACAGGAGGTCCACCCTCCACCAGGGGTTGTTCTCTTCCTCAGTGTGCGTACAGGAGCCAGAATTGTAATCAGAATTACGGTTTCCATCAATGGCATTGTCGGCGGCGGCACGAACGTTGAAGTAACGGCTCGACTGAGTTGCCTTTCCACGCAAGGCCACATTCTCTGTGAGACGGATAAAAAAAGATTCAAAGTAAGATCGTTTTGAATTGTTAATCTTACAGTCCCAACTAATATTATAACTAATAACAATGATGCTGAGAGCACAAGACACTGCTAGTAAAGGAAAAACGGACAAGTTAACAGAAACAGGGACGCCGGTCAGACAAGGCAGTCCACCTACAGCGCAACCTTTAGAGAGTTAGGAATAAGAAACAATCTTACTACAGTGTAACATTTGAAATTAATCTTTAAAAGAATATTGCTTTCTATGAACACAAGTCCCAGGATTTTGTAAAAGAAAAGAAAATAATTTATTTGCCTAAAAATATTAGTAACTTGTCTTAGTTACCAAACAGACCTACGTGGGCCTCCCGGTCATGATTGACAATAAACACGTCACACATACTCGTAGATCAAACTTACCGTAAGCGTAAGCCGAGCGCGTCTCCAGGAGGAGCAGGAGAAGGAAAGCGACTGGTTTCATCATTCTGGTGGTTTTAAATAACACAGCTTTTAATTCATTATTGCTCTTGTAATAAGTGTGATATTTAAATTCTAGCTAAATTAGAACTCAAATGTTGAAAACGTTGGATGTCTATAAAAATGTAAAAATATAATTCTATCCACAGGGAGTTTGTCCATGATCTGCAGATGTGAGAAAACGACAGAGAAATATGATGTGACGGAACAAAGAAATGAAGAGTGTTACCTGAAGACCTGAGCGTCGGCTTATTCAATGAAAGAGAAAAGACCTTCCAAACAACTGAATACTAAACAAGTCCTGTGTTCTTTATATGTGTCTCGCTGAATGTATCCAGCCAATCATAAGAAATGAGATCATATTCATCTTTATGACAATCGCATCCCATTGGTTTACTTCCATGCACATGTATTTCCCTTCCCCAAACTCGTGATTCATTATCACCAAGCAAGAGTTCGGGGGTTCTTTGTTGTTGATTCATTATATGCAGTTTTAACTATTTTTTTAAAATATTCTCTAACTTTTTTACATTATCTATCTGACTCTTGATGAGGACCCTCACACCTTCAGAGACCAGGAGCTTTCAGTAACACACACCCACAGATCCCACACGTTATTTCAATACCCATAATATTGACCTCAGTTTGATGTGAGTTTGAGGTAAATTTTATCCTTTTTATATTACCATATACTTCTACAATGAACGTCAGGCAGAAATATTGCACATTAAACATATTATACATTAAGGAAGTATAATGCCTTATTATAAATTAAACTATCAGTGTAAAATATATTAATACGATATCCCTTCCTCAACCAGCTGTGATTAAAATGCTGGTATAAGTAATACTATTTGATATTATAACAATAACACAACATTCTCACAAACGTTCTACTCTGCCAAGCGTGCAGTTTTGAGACTTTAATTGGAAATGACTGTAAATATTTTTAGTTGGTACAGTTGTTTTGCAACAGCCTGAAAGATGTTACTCAAGACAAACAGGTGTGTGTTTTGTAGAGGTCATGTGAGGGAAAATGCTGGTGTCAGCCTTCCTTGTGCATTTGACCCAAACAATTTTACCGTTAATGCTGAAAATGCTGCGATGGAGATTTATATATTTTTTGCGTACTGTGCACATCTGCTTTTTGTGTCTCTATTTCAACATCTCAACTACTCTGCTACTTCTCTATGTCACCCTCTGAAAACACAACAACATAAGCCAGACTGAATGTCGTACCAAAGAGGCAAAAAGAAAGAATGTAATAACAATAAAGCAAAACAGACTTTAAATATTTTATGACAAAGAAATGTATTATTTGTGAGCTAAGCAGGTCCCACCAATAAATAATAAATAAATATCAATACTGTTCGAACAATCTTTGTTCCAGACGTTCGATATCCAAACTGCACACAAATCAATCAACTGTTATATGAAGAACTTCAACATACTGGCACAATAAACTCAGGAGAAGAAGAGGATTTACATTTTGTTTTATACATTTTTTGTACTCCCCACTCACCCACAGTCGAGCGACTGCACAATTTGAATGATGACATGAAGTGTTAAAGCGCTTTGAGTCCAATTACCATTTGTTGAATATGGACCACACAGGGATATTTTAGTGCACCTCTTCTCGTGGCGCATGCCACAGCTCATTGATAGATTACCACAGAGGACCTGTCTTTGTTCTTGGATGTAGATAAGGTTTATTTTTGTTTAAAAGAAAAAAAAAACGAAACTTGAGCTTTGCTAAACCCCTCATTACAGTAAATATTACTCAATGTAGAGAGGTTAAAGGGTTGCAAAGAAGGGGGGAAATAAGTATGCAAGTGAATTTCTTTTACTTTGCTTTTTCAGCATGGTTTTTTCTACATTTCTACAGTTTAGAGCTGTAATTCTATTTTGATTACCACTTTCTCTGGAATATAAAGAGATTACATCATCTTCCTTTTATAGGCAGCCTTTTGTTTTTAGAAAAAATTCACATGTACTCTATTTAGTGTAAATTCACAAATATGTCTAGTAATACTTCCTTTTCAGTTAACCACAATAAGTCACTAAGATTACTTTTCGCCGCCGATTACTAAATCAGTTGCTAAGAAACTTTTGTTTGGATGCAAAAAAGAAGTCTGAATGCTTAAGAGTCTATGAGAAAATGTACTTCTCTCTTGATTCATCCCCTCAGGAAACGTAAACATGAATTCTTGGTCTCACTCTCTAGTTTCAAGTCTTCTTCAATACTGCATGATGTTCATTTAGTGAATTATGGTCAATTTAGAGTAAAATAATGCGTGACGGCGGGGCAACTGTGATTGACAGATCTATACAATTTTAATGACAGGTCCCATGGAAAGAAACAGACAAAGAAATAAAGGCTGGCTGATTTTTTTCTAGTTGCTTTAATCATTTTATGTCATCAAATGTGACATAATATTTATCTGCTGACATGAAAAAGTGATTTAAAGGTGTAAATCTACTACAGCTTTACGGAACAAATCAATCATATCTATATCACTTTAGGTTGAATGCAATGCAAATATGAATTGAAATGAATCCGTCCTGAAGAGGCTGATGTTGAGTTATTTTGTGCATAACTGAGGCGTTGATTCGTCATGTGCCTAATCCAGCCTGGAGCCGTACACCTCCACCTCACACAGGATCAGCGTCTCGCGTCTTCCAGGAATGACGATGTTGACATAGCGACCGTCCATCCCGTTACACTGGAAGTTTTCTGTGGAACCTGGAGAGATTCTTGTGATCACAGCACACCTAGCAGAAGAAGAGCATTTTTACTAATCCATAGGATCCATAAACATCTCAATGTTCATTTGAGTTAGTCTTAGTTTAATATATGATTTTTGCTGTAAAGATAACTACCCTTCTCCTAGGCCAGAGGTCAAAACGTCACAGTGAATTCCAGAGATTTACTGAAACTTAGTTTATCCAAAATGGAAGCGCTGTGCAGGTGAATTGTGCACAAACGCGTCTTTTCAACCAAACCCAATCACAAATATACTTTAATCGCAAACTTTGGATGCCATTTTATTTTATTAATACCTGGGATTGTTGTTGCCGTTGTTGTCAAGAGAATCTCCAATTCGGATTTCAGCTCTAATGAGTTGCAAGTTGGGATCTAGGTAATTGGTAATGTTGACGGCAAACAATTTATGTGTTTTGCCCAGGTCCAGACGCCACCAGGGGCTAAACTCGTGAGTTGTGTGGCAGCAAGAAGCTTTTTCCCATTCGGTGGCACGATTCCCATCGATGGCGTTGTATGCAATGCCTGGAAGATACAGAGACGACTGCGTGGCCTTTCCTTGGAGTGCCAGGTTCTCCCCTGCAAACGCAACACATTTGCAAACACAGTTCTGCACACTTACACTCCTGATTTACTTGATGTTATTGTTTGGGATTGTCAAGCATGGTATCCGCTGTTTGCATCAGTCTTTCCTGAAGCAGAGAGAAACCCCTGCATCGTTAGCCTCTATCCACTTGTCACTGGCCCTTTTAAAATATGATGGTCTATGCCTTTTGTTTGTTCACGATGCTGCCCCATCAGGTGGGTTACATTATCCCCCTGTATAGTCTCAGTGGCACAGAGCCAAGACTTAATCATTGCACATCATCTTTTAATCATAAATACTTCTCTCTCTTTATCATATCACGTGTCTCTCCTGGCTGAACTTAAGTGAATACCTTTTCAAACGTTGTTGCCTTTTATGTTGTAAACTTTTATGTTGTAATAAAAAACGGCTGTAAAAGGCAGAGAAGTAATTGAAAGTGAGAGAGCCTGTTCATTACTGCAGTGCATTCAGCAGTAATACATGTTTATATTGTAAATAAATGTTTTGCATCCCAGTGACTTTTGAGAAACTGTCTACTTTTGATTGGAAATAACTTTAACGTTAGCGGTAAAACACATTTTGCCAAAATATACATAACTTTGGGAAGAAGAGATTTACTTGTATCAGGAAGTGCACATATCTATTTTCTTTATTCAAATGGGTGCAGTTCAAGCTGTGATGTGACCTCCGTATATAGAAAAAAGACACTGCGGCATCAGTTCATAAATCAGATCTTTTGTGGCTCACGCCTCATGTTCCGCTCTCACCAGTTGGGGCTCGGTACCCGTAGACCTCCACTTCACAGAGCGTGAGGATCCTTTCAGAACCGGATAGCGTCACGGTTACATAACGTCCCTCCACAATTCGGGTGAAAGTGATTTTTAAAGACCTGCCTGCTGGGATATGAGAAATTACACCAACCCTAAAAAAGATAGATCAGATTAGATTAGATTCAACTTTATTGTTATTGCACTGTACTGAGGCAAGGAAATGCAGTTTAACATCCAACCAGAGTGCAAAATAGCAAAAAGTGAAGAGTATGTGCATATGTAAAGTGTAATAAGTGAATAAATAGATATGTACAGTAAGAAATAGTTGTGCAATATGAACAGTAAGAAATGGATATGCAATAACAGTGCAAATGTTCAGTGGCTAGAGGAAGTTAGTTTGATCAGTGCTGTACTTAAAAGGTATCTAATATAAAGTAATAAATAATACCAACCAGTGAGCAGAAGAAAGGGTGAGGACAATATTTCACAGGATATACGCCATATGGTCTGTTTTAGTGGTCGACAAGATGATATGTCATGAGCTCGGGTAGGTTACGTCTACTAAACTTTGCCTTGTGTGATAAATGAAACATCGTACTGAAGAAGTTCACTCACACTGGGTTCGCGGCCCCGTTGTCTCGTAACGAGTTGCCGAGGTGAATCTCCGCCCCGTCGAGCCTCTCCTCGCAGCAGTCTCCTCTGTTGGTGATGATGATGGAGGTGACGGTGTAGGACTCCAGCAGGTCCACTCTCCACCAAGGGTTGGTCTGTTTGACAGTCTGCGAGCAGGAGCCAGCCCTGTTGTTGGAGTCGCGATTTCCATCGATTGCATTGTTAGCAGCTCCGAATGCATTCTCAAAGCGCTGCGATTGGGTCGCTTTTCCACGCAAGGCCACATTCTCTGTGAGACGGAGGAAATGCACAAAAATGTTTGTATTTTGAATTGAAATGAACTAACTTCTTTTCATGCCGTGTAACACACCATTAGATGTATCAGTTTATGAAACACAACCAAGCACCTGAAGCCCTCCACAAGGTACGAAACAACCCTGGTAAGCCTGCGTGTGCCAACCAGACAGCCATATTCTCCCAGAGTACCCAGCTACTCCACAGCCTGCACTGGCTCCCAGTGGCTGCTCAGACCCCTTCAGAGACACTGGCCCAGTCTACATCCAGGACAACAGTCTCTTTCTACAACTCCTTTTGATTTTAAATGTAGCACTTGCCCACCGAGTCATGGGAGAATTTGATACATAACAAATAAAGCCAGGCGTTACTTACGGTAGGTGTAAGCCGAGCACGTCCCCAAAAGGAGCAGAAAAAACAGAACTGAACTGGGTTTCATTGTTCTGGTTGAGAATGAAAAAACAAACAATCATAGTGTTACACAAAAGAAATAAGTACTTTCATCATTAATACTTAATAAAAGTTATCCAAGACGAACAGAAAATGTGGTTCCAGAAGTAAGGATCCAAATGAAATAACTGTTATAAGATAAATAACTGCTCGTAAGAAACTACATTAGCCTTAACTGTCAAGCAAAAATCCTCCACAATGAGTATTTAAAAGCCTTACTCAACTAAAACCACATACCTTGACTTGAAGAATAAACTCAAAGACGAGGAGCCACTGTTTTTTTTTTGTTGAGGATTATGACGTGATGTGGTCCACACAGGGATTCTTATCAAGACACAGACAGTTATTCATTGATGATTGATGATTGATGATTTACCACGTAACTTTGTCCTTGTGGTAATAAGGAAATTAGGATTCCAGCACCTACAGCACCTTATTATGACAACATTTAAAAAACAGGGCAATAAAATAAGTAATAAATAACACATTAAAAGGTTTTAATTGTGTGTAAGATCAGCTGAAGCTCAGTTGAATTCTTAACTCGTGCATCATGCAAAGAAAAATAGAAACTGTGCACGCTAGGGTCGTGTTTTGATACAATTCTCTGTCCAGACTTTGGCTTTTTATTCTCATATATTTCTGAGAGAAGAGGCAACTCAACATGAAATCCTTTTTAGGTTTGTGAGTAGGCTACAATCATGCAACAGCTTATTCTCCGCCAAGGTGCAGGCTGAATTTGACCAGCATGGATTCCACCGAACCTTAACTGAAGCAATCAAAATGTATGTTGTTAAAACGGCTCCAACAATTATTTTCTGATACTGGAGAAGGTATCTCAGAAAAGCATCGAGGTTGTAAACCTGCTCCACCTCCTGGTCTTGGATGGACTCAGACACAAACTCTCTGTAGCCAGAAAAATAAGCTGTCAAAAGAGTCGTGCTAAGGTTGAATCGATAAGCTTTTATTATGTGTTTTTATTCAGAGACTTCCTTTTCATAAAAACATATGCCACAGGATCTTGTTGATCATTGCTAATTCCCATAAAAAGTATTGTCCTTCCTGGTCAGATAAACACGGATACAATAATAAAATCGTAGTTATTTATGTTGTTGATAATCTCCCTATATATATGGTACAACCTCCTAGTGTGATTAGAAGATGTGTAGAAGTGTACTTTGAGGAAGTTTTTAAAGTATTGTTACTCCAACAACACCTATTGGCAAAGAATTTAAGGCAGATAATTACATTACATGTCATGTCATTTAGCAGACGCTTTTATTCCAACCGCGTTCCATTGCATTTTTAACACATGGCTTTTTACATTTTTGCCTGGGGAGCAAATAGGGGTTAGGTGTCTTGCTCAGGGACACTTCACCATGGGACATGGAGCAGTCAGGGCTCAAACCACCAACCTTGCAGCACCCTCTCTACCCCTCTCTACCCGTGCGCCACATCGTTACCCTATAACAAGATAATGAATGTTTAGGTCTGTTAACAGGCCTATACAATTACAAATAAATAATAAATAAATACAAATTACGTTTACACCAACGATGAAAAAAAAGGGCAAGGACAAGTTGAGGAACTTGTACTTCTATTACACTGGATTAATGTGGCAACTAGACTTATATATTTATATTTATTGATAAGTATTAATTAATATCAATATTTAATTAATATGCATTGATATTATTATTAGTTGTTATCCCTCTCTTAAAGAACAAACTATAAGTTGCCTACATTTCCCACAAGCCCTCTGGCATCAAGACCCCGCGATACTTTAACATTGACACCTTTGCGCCTGCGCAAAATCATTCGAAAACTTGCATGGTGAGCGACGCCGTGGAGGAGAAAGACAACGCAGCGGACAAAACACACAATGGCGACGGCGGCGACAACGGCAGGCGGAACGGCCTCAGGCGGACCGGCCACCGGCCCGGTCGGCGGCGGGACCGCAGTGGGACGAAAGAAGGACGGCGGTCCGTCTACGAAGTTCTGGGAGAGTTCGGAGACCATATCCCAATTCGAGACGGTGCGGCAGTGGATCGGGAAGCACTACAAGAAGGTGAGCTAGCTTTAGCTTCGCTGGGTCTCCATTCATTTTCTATGACGGCCCGCGTCCCGCTGGCACAATGGGGCGCTGCTATCCTGGCTAACGTTAGCTACCGCCACACTAAACTCACTGACGCCATAGTTTAACGTTAGGCCACTTATGCGAACCTTTACGTGTGCACGTTAGTGAAAGCTAAAGCTAAGTTAAGTGCGTGTTCGTAACCACCAGAATACACACGCTTCGACTTTAGCGACGCTGTTTATCTTTTTAGCTAGCTCCCCGTTACCTAACGTTAGTCAACTGCCGCTTCGGTGCCGTTAATAATAAATAACACACCGCGGGTCGCAGGTGTTAATCCACGAGAGGCAGATGGACGTCAAGGCCACTGAAGTTGTTCAGTTTATGTTTGTATCTTCTCTCAATTGATAAGATCTCCGCAAAACTTCCGTATAAGAATTTGGGGGGAGGCCCAAGAGGCATAGTTAATCAAATGTTAGTCGAGGGACACCGTGCATACAAATCCCATTTAAACAGAATATTATTTAGTTTGGTGTTTTTTAATTTGCTCAGTTACGTTGTTGTCAGAGAATTGTTGTTGGACCCACTTTGCTCGTTTCGCAAGCACACTTGTATTTCGTGCGAAAGAGTGAGCGGCGTTGCGTTTTGTCAACAGAACAGAGCAGCAGACTGCAGCTCCCACTCGCACACCAAGTTATCCAAACCAAGAATGGTCCTCTTGTCCCTTCATTGCTTTGAAACACCCTCACATGCTTTGACTGATTGTATTGAAGTAGAGAAGAAAAAACGATGAATTGAGGTGGGGCTAAATCCAATTTTTGGCGATTTCTTTTACACAGAAAAACAGACCTGAAAATGAACATGCTTCTGACAAATGGCTTGGCTCGAGTTTGTTTATGTGACATCACTGTATCCAAAACGGCTATTCTTTTAAGGCTGGAAGTGGGTGTCCTTGACGTTGTCCTTGTTGTAAATAGACCAGGGCCTTTGTGAGCCTTTTTTCCACGTTTAATTTTGCTTGTCCTATTTTTTTAGATGAAATTAGATTGACATGTAAATTATCATAGCCACAGCTTTTATCACAATATTCCCATGCTGTGTTTTCGCTCTATGCCGAGGGGGGAGGCAAGTGTGTGTGAGATTTGGTAGCTTGTCTTTTGAAAGCAAACTGCCTAAATCTTCTTTTAGGAAGCTGCAAGTTCCTGGTCCCAACTTTTGACCTCTTTTCCAGAGGGACGCGAACTATTACATTTCTGTACGTGCTCCAAATTGATTGCCTGTATATTGGCCATAATCATGGCAAAATCACACAGATTTTTAAATTAAATGCACACCCTTAAACATTTGTACGGTTTTGTTCTGTGTAGTAAATTGTAGTCCCTTTTTTTTAAGTAAGCAATGACCTTTTTGATGATATCATCCAATTGAAATTTGGTTTGGTTGAAAATTTCCCAGATATTCATCAGAATATGTTGAACTTTACAAATGTCAATGAAATATACCAGAAACCTTTCAAATTAAATCTGATTAAGAAACACATTTTTCAATTACTCACAAATCAGGTAAAAATAGGTTGTTATAACATATAGCGTAAATAAAGGAGAAATATTGTTATATAGAACCAGGGGATGATTCTTTTTTTTTAAATAAATATAATCTTATATTGTTGCATCCCTATTTGAAGGTGACTTATCTCCCCTTAATTGTTGACATCAGAATGGTGCACTGCGTTGTTTGTGACTAATCATGCATCTCTTGATGAGTGTACATGTTTCACTGGGCTGTGTTTTAATAACCGTTTTCATGCGGTCTGGTCCCAGTCTGTCCAGAATGACTCCCCCTCCAGCAAATCCTTGGCGGGTCTGGTGGTCCAGCTGCTACAGTTCCAGGAAGACGCATTTGGACGCAGGGTCAACAACCCTGCGCTAACTAAGCTACCTGTAAGCAAATAACAAACTCATTTAGAATATTCTACGGTATTAATACAATTCCTAGCTAGCGAAATCTGTGTGCTGACATGCACACCCTCACCGCAACGTTTCCATCTTTAGGCCAAGTGTTTCCTGGATTTCAAAGCAGGCGGCGCTCTCTGTCACATTTTGGGGTCCGTCTACAAGTTCAAGAGCGAGCAGGGATGGTGAGTTGACTTCTGGCACCTTCCATAGAAAGAAGTTTTGACCGTAACGTTAACATTCATGTGGTCGTCACTTGCTTTGTCACGACAAAGAGGCTCTTGCGCATTCCCAATGTTTTTACAAAAGTCTGCATTTTACTTATTGTTTTTACTTCACTGCTGCATCCTCACCTCATTGAACATCTTGCTCCTCTTTGTCGACCACTCCCAGGCGTCGATTTGACCTGCAGAATCCTTCCCGGATGGACAGGAACGTGGAAATGTTCTTGAATGTAGAGAAAAACTTGGTCCAGGTACCACACACCTTCTCCAGACACATGCTGTGGCTTTGATGAACTGTTCATTGTCACTGATTAAGATGCCTGCTGCATCTTAAAAGTACTTCTCACTAAGCGTAACGGCCGACATTAACTGTTTTAGTTAACTCACAGTAACCTGCATTTAACTCCCTTTTATTTTCTTAATTTATTAACTACTAATAACTTCTATGCGGCTTTAACCAAGCCAAGCTGCATGTGTACATTAATAGATGAGCAGTAAATTACTGACATTTTTTATTTTTCTGTTTAGAATAACTGTTTGTCGCGACCTACCGTGTTCCTGTTGCCAGACATCGAGCAGAAACAAGCCAGTAAGCTCAAAGACATCGTCAAAAGGCATCAGGTGAGCCCAAAACTACGAACTCAAACTATTATATTATTACTACTATTACATTATTCATCGGTGAACTGGTGAAGGCTTCTTTCTAATGACAAACCACGCTGTATCCTTCTCTTTGGTTGTAATGTGTTATTTTCTCCACTCGCTCCTCTCAGGGCTCCATTACCGATGACAAGTCAAAGGCCACACACCACATTTACCCCGCTCCATCTCAACAAGAAGAAGGTAGGGTTGAAGTTTCTGTAACTCGGATTAGTTCAATAATATCAATGCAAGAGTCTTGAAGATGAGGTTGCATCAATACAAAACTCTTGAAAACAAAGTCAGAAGCGTCTCCATTTAACCAGCTGTTGATGTACAGGTAACACACCTGTGAACACATGAGCAGAAGGAAATGGTGAGGTGTGTTAGTGATTTGAGCAGCACAGAGGCCATCAAGACCGGCAGACAGACATGCAGGCACTCGCTACTGCGGCGCTAGCTAACTAGCTGTGAACAGTAAAATAAAATAGGAGGCTACGCTACTATCAATGGCGGTATCCAAACGTTTTGACTACCTTTGTAGCTTGTTAGCCAACGTGACGTTATAGTTAACGCATAGAAGCACTATTTACATGTCTCTGGAATATACAAAGGAGGAGGTTGTGTATGTTCAGTTTTTTTTGTCACTCACACCTGCGGTCTATGGGCGTATGGCCATGGGTTTCACTCGTCTTTTCGATTCTTCTTCATACTGCATGTTGTTTGTAGCCCTCCAGGAGGCCATCATTACATATATAAGGAAAACAACATTTTAAATGCAAGATTGTCTTTAAATTAAGGAGCTGCAGTGTCTTACTGGAATGGGAAATGTATAACTCGTCATGACAACGTGTTGGAGTAAAACCATTTATTTAGTGGGTCAGCGTGTACATGTCAGCATTGGTTTGTGTGTGTTGCAGAAGAGTGGCTTCGTCCTGTCATGAGAAAAGACAAGCAGGTGCTGGTTCACTGGGGTCTTTCCCCAGCCAGGTGAGTGGAGGGTGGGGGGGGGGGGTAAAGATGCTCACTCAAACTCAATACTTATTTTCAGCTTCCACCTTGTTTTCTTTCTTTTTTTTCTTGATTATATTCTTGATTAAATGATTATAGTTGGTTCTTCTGACAGGAGTAAACCGACCCAACCCTTCCACCATGTTTTCTAGTTTTTAAGAAAAGTTAACGCATAGAAGCACTGATGTCATGATTATCCTTTTCTTATAGCCAGTAACAAAATCTCATGCCTTGTGTCATAAACTACAACACAGTCCTGTCAGTTCATCAATGTTGTCCTCATTCCTGAGCCGTGGCTGTCTGTTCACTCTCTCAGCTATGATACCTGGGTGTCGGTCAGTGAGGTGGAGGCAGACGTGGAGGACCCACCCAGCGCCGACAGACCGTGGAAGGTGAGCAATGCGGAGCACAATACAAGAAACTTTATCTAATAAAAATGGACTTTGATACACAAAAAGAAAAAACTTCCAGTGCTCCCATCACTTCTCCTTGGAGCTGATCTAACCAAATGAACAAGAAGAAGTGTTCAGGAAGCCCTGGATGTGAATGCTGGGCTTTGTCGCCCAAAAAATCGCTCTCATATTATGGGCTATTGTCAAAAAAAAAGAAGAAAGAATAAATTATTTGTGAATAATGTTTAAAGCACAACAGTGAGTTCTGTTTGTTGGGTGAAGGAAAATCCTGGCAGCCGTGTGAATATTGTATCGGGATCATTCATGTTGAACTCTCCCGCTCAGGTCCACGCCAAGTGGGTTTTAGACACCGACTCCTTCAACGAGTGGATGAATGAAGAAGACTACGAGGTGGACGACAACAAGAAGCCGATCAGCTTCCGCCAGAAGATCTTCCCCAAGGAGGAGGAGGTATATATTTTGCCTGTGTGCGTGTTTCACTCCCAGAAAATCCGGGTTGTGAAAGTTTTCTACGCCTCGATCAGTGGAGCCTGAAACCGGTTTGTTGTTTATTAAATATCAGCCACAGCTTTTCCTCATGGTGTGGCCGCATGATAATAACCAACCAGTTATTGGAACCAATGAATGATTGAATTGGCAGTTAATGAAAAATATAACTCAAATGTTGGTCATGGATTGGATGGACATGATGGATCGGCAGCCGGCTTGTGTAGAAGTCTTTGTTTCGTTGCATGTGTTCTGTGAACTGTGCGTCTACTCCAGCTGCGTCTGGCCTTTGTTTGTTCGTTGCCCATCCTTTCCAAACCTTTCCTCACTCTTTGTCTCCTATCAGGGTTTCTGTCTCCGTTTAGGCCAATTCTTTTTGAAAAAATCCCCAGGATTATAAAAATCAGAAAAAAGGCTGGTAAACCACAAAAGGCCCACCAAGACCTTCACTTGATTGTAATCAAATGCCATGTGAAGGATCCATTAAGGAGAGTTCTATTCTTGGTCTGTTCTCCGTACCCTCAAGGTTACGCATTCAATGCTGCAACCAATTAAAGCAGAAGCCTGTTTGAGTCCTAGTTTGCGCTATTTTTGTTTGACCACTAAGACAATCTACCGATACAGAGGTCAAGTGTTGGCGTCATTTAAGGCAGAGAAATCTTTCACCTCGAGGCACAAATCACAAAGGGACACTTTGAATGACCGAGATGCTTTGTTTGAGAGCGCATTGATGACAGCGTACGGAAACCCTGGTCGTCTCCTCCACCTCCACGACATCTCCCCCGAACCCCCACCAACCCCCCCCCCCCCTCCCGCTTTCCCCTCCGTTGTTCTCCCACCGCTTCCCCTCCTTGTGTGTGCAACCGTTCCATCCTCTCATTCTGCGGCTCTTTCTCTCATCCTCCATCCCTCGCTCCCTGCGCTGCACGGGGTTTGTCTGATCAGTCTTCCCGTACACCCGATCGCAAGGAGCGCAAGGCCAACTCGGCTAGCAAGAAGAGGAGGCGCTCACCCTCGCCGCCGAGCACCCCCGCCGAGTCACGCAAGAAGGGAGGAAAAAAGGGGTAAGGAGACCACTTGTTAATGTTCTCATTTTTCTTAAACCAGAAGGACTGCAAATAATTCAAGTTGTAGTCAAAAGAAAGTTTAGACAAATGTAGCAGATGGCTGTTATTTCCACAAACAGCTGGTCTATGCAGGTTTTAGTGAATATTCCTTAACAGCGTTTCTTTTTTGTGGTGTCGTGGCAAGAACTCTACACACTGGAAACTGAAAATAGAGAATGCAACTAAAGCTGCTATCAAAGTTAACATTGACTAAAAGTCGTGTGTGCTGATGATTTTATGACCTGCACAGCTGAAGGAGACTCGTAAATGTGCTTGATCCTGTGTCTGTTCTTTGGCGAGTATCAGCCTGCCATACCAACTAAATCCCGTGACATTTATCTGACTCATGACCCTCTCTCTGGTGTCAGGAACCAGGGGCCTCACTGGAAGCGCAGAGGCCACAGAGGCGAAGAGGAAGACACGGAGGAGGACATGACCAAGGACATGGACGACTCCTCAGCTGGCGCCAGCATGGAGGAGGGAAGTGTGTCCAAGAATGGTATGTGACGAGATTATTCGTTCAAAAGGGACCTTGTTGAGTTATTATCATGTGTATTGACATGGGAAGTCTTGATGATATTCAGTTTTAGGGAAGTCCTCGAAAATATTGTCCTCTGCTCTTTTGTAGTCCCACCTGTGATGTCCCACTCCCCCCATGTCGATTACAGTGTCCTCTTTTGTTAACCAGAGTGCCGGTTAATGCCACCATGCCCACGGCTGGGTAACCCTCAGTAGTCTAACTTATTAAAAAAAACTTCTTCCCCCCCCTTTTTTACGTACCCAGCAAATTCAAAGAAAGACAGTGAGAACACTCCGGTAAAAGGAGGGAATGTGGCCGATTTGGGTGCGTATGAATATCTGAATTATCTGTCAAGTTGTGAATTCATGAAAGAAATGTGCAGTGATCTTAACCGAAATCTGTTTTTGCCTCTTGTAGATGACATGGAGGACGACTCGGTGTTGTCCGGTGGAAAGGTGAGATGATCGATGACGCCAACTTCCTGATGACTGTTTGCCTACCGACCAGTTACTCACTACATTAACAACGTGTCTTTAGATTTAGGTTTAGATTTTTTATTGTTTTCGGCACACTGGATTATAACTCCAAAAAATGCTTTGGCCAGAAATAAGGAAACATTTGAACCAACTGTGTCGTCTTCAGCCAATTTGACAATGAAAAACACGACTATATGGAGTATAAACAACAAATTGTTTATATAATGTAAACAAATCATGAGATGGCTCAATACAATATGTATAAAATAAAATTCATTATTGGCACTAAAGACATTTTCAGCAGTAAACTCCTCGAAGAAAAACAATCCATGATACCAAAAGAAATCAGATCGTCTGATTAATATTCTGTGTTCTTTGTCATTTGAGTCATTTGCCTGAGAAGTCAAAACCTTTCAACTTGAATACGAAATGGGATGTGCACACAGCTGACCTTTTGATCATTGTTCTATTATCTATGCCCAAGTCCAACTGTATTGTGTTGAGCTTTTTTCCCCCTAACCTTTTGATGGTTGTTGGTCTGCGTATTACAACATGAACGATGTTCTCACATCTATTTAAAAGGATGACGAGGAGCAGGGCAAAGCTGAAGTGAACCGGCTGATGGACTCCAGCGAGGACAACGTGACGGAACAGACTCACCACATCATCATCCCGAGCTACGGCGCCTGGTTTGACTACAACTGGTGAGTGAGAATACACACTCACATTTTGATCTATTATGTGAGGCTGTGATGGTGAACTTGAGGCTTTTGGCACAAATGTTGTGTGCTTTGATTTTGTACACCCATTTGTTTTGGCCTTAAGGGTCAAAGCTTATGAAAAGGTTATATTTGGAATATACATATCTTAGCACTAGCTGTAATTTACAGTTAACAGTTCAGTTGAGATGGAAATCCTCAAAGGTCATTATTACGGCACCTTTTGAAAAGCAGCTAGTTGTTTAGAAACTACGGCGCCAATTCACCTTTTTCATTCATTGATCATAAAACCAGTTCTTTGACTCATCGGTCTTCCTCATCCTGATAGCATCCATGAGATTGAGAGAAGAGCGCTGCCCGAGTTCTTCAACGGGAAGAATAAGTCCAAAACTCCAGAGATGTGAGCTTCTACACACACACAAACACAGTTGCAGGTTATATGAAACCACAAACACTTACATGGACTCTAGTACAATGCGATATGTTTGTGACGCTCATCTCTTTCTCACAAACAGATACCTGGCATACCGCAACTTTATGATCGACACGTATCGGCTAAACCCTCAGGAGTACCTCACCTCCACCTCGTGCCGCAGGAACCTGACCGGGGATGTCTGTGCCATCATGAGGTGAGCGTTCTTCAGAATTACGTTGTATCCCTTTTTTGATTATTTGATCTTTTCCGGATGATCTGCATGCCGCTGTTACTAGAAAGACGAAAGCACATCAATCCTTTTTTGCCGTCCGTCTCCAGGGTCCATGCGTTCTTGGAGCAGTGGGGTTTGGTGAACTACCAGGTGGACTCTGAGAGTCGCCCGTTACCCATGGGCCCCCCACCCACTCCCCACTTCACCGTGCTGGCTGACACGCCATCTGGCCTCATGCCTCTGAACCACAGACCCCCACCGGTAAGGCCGAATTAAGATACACAACATGGAGAGAGAGGAACACGGATGAAAGTCAGATTCACTGTAATGTAGCATATCGTTTGCTTTGTGGATTCCATTGTTTTATAATGTGCTGTTTTTCATCTCTCTAGATCCCCCCCCAACAGCCAATGCCCAACTTCGCAGACAAAGTCAAAGACAAGTCCATCGACCTGCAGAACTTCGGCCTTCGCTCCGACCTCTACAACAAGAAAAACCTCAAGGTCCGCACACGAGTCGATTTGACAACCCGTAATGTGTTTTCCACAACAAAAATAAATGAAAAAACCTCTTTGGCATTCTACCTAAAATACTGCCAGTTCATCTTGACTAATGTCATTGTTAAGGCGATCATGTGGTTCTGGTTCCCTACAGGGTAAGACGGTCAACTCCACAAGGGATTGGACCGAGCAAGAGACTCTTCTGCTGCTGGAGGTGAGGAAAGAAACCCGGTGTAAACATGTGTGACTGATGGAAATAGTTTATGCATTTGTTGTCCATCTTTAAGCTCCATCATCTACGGGTCGACATCATTGCTCCTTTTTATTCTCTCGTAACCCTTTCTTCCTTTTGTCAGCATTTCTTTGTGCTTTTTGATCATTTCCTTTCTCAATTTCACTCTTTTTCTTGGTACCTTTTACATTTGATTTATCTCCCTTCTGAATTGCGTAACTCTTCTCTCCCATCATCTTCAGCCTCACGACCCTTAAATCGGTTGCTTCTATGATTTTTGCATACCTTCTTTTTATAAATCTCGCGCACAGTTCCAAGACATCATGGCTGAATGTATATTCACACCCTTTGACTCTTCCAGGCTCTGGAGATGTTCAAAGACGACTGGAACAAAGTGTCTGAGCACATCGGTTCACGCACCCAAGACGAGTGCATCTTGCACTTCCTGCGCCTCCCCATTGAAGGACCCGTACATGGAAAGCACCGAGGCCTCCCTGGGCCCTCTGGCCTACCAGCCCATCCCCTTCAGCCAGTCTGGAAACCCCGTCATGAGCACAGTGGCCTTCCTGGCCTCTGTGGTTGACCCCAGAGTGGCGTCTGCTGCCGCTCGAGCAGCTTTAGGTGAGAACCGAAACTAAACTAAAGGAGTGAAGTGACAGAGGGAAATTGGAATATGTGATCAATGCATTAATCAAAACAAATGTATACAAAGTGCTTAGGTCTATGGCAAACCAGATTATGCACCCATGAAACCTTGCACTTCAGATCTGAATCATTAATACAAATGTCTTCTCTCTGTCTGCAGAGGAGTTCTCTCGTGTGCGTGAGGAGGTGCCGGCTGAGCTGGTGGAGGCTCACGTGAAGAAGGTGCAGGAGGCGGCCCGGAGCACAGGCAAGGTGGACCCCGCGTTCGGCCTGGAGAGCAGCGGCATCGCTGGCACCGCCCCCGAAGAACCAGAAAAGACTGGTGAGTAGAACTTCAGAAAGGGCGAAAGCCGGACGTCTCCCTCCAGAAGTGACCACGTGTAAAACTAGACTGTTGATTATGTAAAGAAAACATGATTGTGTTGCTTGCGAACTTAAGTGAATTTTATTTCCAGGTGATTTGTTGGTTTAGTGTATTGTGACGTGAGATAGACCTGTCAACAATTCTCAATATACAGTATTTTAGATATAAACCACGTTAGTACATAAACATTAGAACATATAAAAGTGTCGAAATAGAATGTTTCTTAATCTTTAAGGCCAACACATTACCTTCTACAGCTCTTCTACCTTCATGCGGGTTAGAAATCATTCACCTCGTCATCGCGAGGCATCCTAGAATCTGGGCGTTTCCCACCTCTAGTAGCCACTGGAGGGCAGCAGATGGTAGCATTTGTAAATGTGTGTCTGGTGTTGTACGTGTGAACATCCTTGCCGGTCCTCCATCTTTGAATATAAATGATGGTCTTTGCATGCATGTTTAGCAGATGACATTTTAATACAATGCACATGTCAGCTTTTACCAGCAGGGGGTGACCAGCACAGAAGTGTGTGTGTGTGTTTGTGTCTGTGTTTGTGTGTGGATTAAAACATCGGTGGCAGATGGGGAGGGGGAGGAGAAAACTGGGTCATCTCCCTCCAATGTGTGCTTATCTTTCTCTTTATTTTGCCCAATGCTTTCTTGATTTCACTTTCTTCTTCGACTCTCTCTCTCTCTCCCCACCCCCACCTGGATTAATACCGTCCTGCTGACAGTTGCAATCATTAAGCTTGAATGTGTTCAGTGCCTCATTCGGGCCTGAAGCTCGCGCGCGCACACACACACACACACACAAAATCAATATTCAAACCCTTAACACACGCTCAAGTGCATCCGTGACACAGTTTAACACTCAACCTTGTGTGTGTGCGCTCAGTCTATCCTGTGACCCTTCAGATGCCTTTGACCTGTAATTCCTGTCCTGAATTTCTTCCCTCCTCTAGTTTTTGGATGGCGTTATCCTCAGAGAGTCAAGTTACTTGTTTTAAATGATTTCAACCGGATGATACATCTGTGACTCCTCATTCTCTTACAGCTGTATCAGGAGCGTTTAATGTGTTGGATTTGCTTCGTAGTTCCTTTCAGTCTGAATGTGCATGTGTTTCTCTCCTGTGTTGTTGGTTCTTGCCGGTATGAGCAAGTCATCGGAGGAATAAACCGCTGTGATGAAGATGTCTGCTGCACGCAACAATGTGAAGCATCTGGATTAGTGTCCGTCTGACACGATGCTAATGCTCCACTGTGCTTTGCAGAAGCCCCAGAGCCAGAGAAGATGGACACGGACACCGACTCCCAGCAGGCAGATAAGGTATAGCAAACATTTGTACTTTTTCATGTATCTTAGTCCTATATAAATCTGTGGCTTTAGACATTCTGGTGAATGATGTTACAGAAACCTCTGCTAATTAATGGATAAAGCCAGCAATAATTAGTATTTTTGTTATTGTCAGTACATTAATTTCTCAAACGGGTTTCCAGAAGTAATTTCTATTCCTCTCATCAAGCTCGCAGCAGTAAATCTAACGTCCTCTTAGTCTTCGTCTTAGACTCTGACTTGACACACGGGTCTTTTCCCCCGTGGCGCTGACACGGCCCACTTAACGTTGTGCGTCTGTCCTCGACCTTCAGGCTGAGCTGAAGGACGAGGCAGAGAAGCCCAGCGAGTCCGCAGAGAAGAGCGACAAGACGGAGGCTGCGGATAAGGTCAAGAAGGAGGGGTCAGAGGCGTCGGAGCGCGAGGAGGAGAACGAGGATGGAGCCGAGCCGAAGACGTCTCCAGCAGGTAACCCGTGACCCTCATGGTGGAATAACTGGGAAGCGTTGCACACACTTTGAGTTAATATTTCATCAGCGATTAGCTCCTCGTCAAGACCGGCGATGTGTACCGAAACCCGGCATCAAACCGAATCTCCTCAAAGGAGAGAACAAAGCATCAATTTATTAAAACCATGTGACCGCATCAAATCAAGCAAACAGTCCACCACCCAAAGACATGACACAAAAACAGTAAACGCGAGGGAATTGATTTGGGGAATTACATAAACTGTTAAAAGTTATCAAAGTGATTCCATCCCACCGTGGATTATTTTTCTAAGGACCCACTGAATGATTCTCACCAGTTCAGCTCTAATATCAGGAATCAGGAAACATTTATTGCCAAAATATGTCAAACATACAAGGAATTTGTCTCGCCGGATGGTGCGTGACAGTAGACATAAAATAGACAACAAGACAGCAGTGCACGTAAGTGCAAGTAATAAAATAAAATAAAATGCTAATGCAATCGGTTAGTAGAATAAGACTATGGGTTAGTATAAAATAAGAGTAAAGTAAAACATTTTAAATATTTAAAAAGTTAAATATTAAAAATAAAGTGCACTATCGAACAAGTGACAAGGTGACGAGTGACGACAAGGTGATGAATGAAAAATTACAGTTAAAGTGACATGTGCCGTAAGAAGGAGAGTGACCGGTGGAATGTCAGTCAGTGGGGGACCGGGCTCTGTTGATGAGCCCGACTGCCCGACTTTTTGCTGCATAGTGAGTTAAACTTCTGTCTTCGTCCCTGTCAGAAAAAGACAAGGCTGGGGAGACGGAGACGTCGTCCCCGGAGCAGGAGAAGGAGAAGGAAGAGATGGCGGACGAGGGTGAGGAAAAGAGGAAGAAACTGGAGCACGACATCGGAGAGGGCAACATCGCCACGGCGGCCGCCGCCGCCTTGGCTTCGGCCGCCACCAAGGCCAAGGTGAGACACGAAGCATCACAGCGACCTTCGGGATTTATGGCCATTTTTTCAGGTTCCTTTTGACTGGAAACCTCATTCTCCTTTTTTTACGTATTGCACATCTGGAACACATGTGGAATAGTAAATATAC